GGCCTACATTTGTACAACAAACTGGCCAAGATTTAAAACAATAATAGTTCACCAACCAGCAACCACTGAAAGTTAATATCAGACAAAATGGATGAAAAGTTTTCAAATTTCAGAATATATTAAACCAGAAATCACTTTTACACACAATAGCTGATAAGTCTCTTTATTCCAGTGCTTCACTGAAGATTTGGCATGCAAGTAGCGCCACCTTGTGGACGTTTGTAATTACAGCTCAAACTTTATGAAAACTTCAAGAGATTGATAATTATTTATTACTACCCCTGCATTGCATAATATTGCAGTTATACATCTACAAAAATCATATAATAAAGATTTTAAATTATGATTTTGGAGGTATCTGATGAATCTTCAGTCTTGCTTTAGTCCTACAAAAAACAGAGAGAGAAAGACAAACGTTAACCTTCAGATTTTTACAAGAATCCTTAAACTAAACCTAAACCCTCATTATGCAGGCACTGGTGCAATACATTATTTTGGATATTATTTCATTAAAAAAAACCTTATTCAAAAATACATTTAATTTATGCACCTCATGTCATTCCAAACCCATTTTATTTTCCTTCTTCAGTGGAACAAAAATAGAATCTCAGAGTTTTAAAGAAAGGAAGTGGATGGTGATTTATACTGCGATTTTGCAAATTTGGCGTGTTATGATCAGTCATTTGACAAAAGAGAACCAAAGAAATTATATGGGTTTGGAATGATATGAAGGTGAGTAAATGACTGGTTTTTAAGGAGTTAATTATTGCTTTAAGTATAAAATAAAAAATAATTAAAAAAATAAAATAAAATAAAAATAAAATTTAAATTAAATTAAATAAATGTTGTGGATTTTGTGGATGTTTTCTAAAATGAATGGAAAGAAAACAGAACCGTTTTTAATGAAAAAGTCCAGAGAGAGAAAGCATCCACCTAAGTCAAACTCTTGCACTGAATATCAAGTCTGAAACTCTCTGTATTAGAGTTATAAGGGCCGTGTGAGGCTTGTTATCAACTCAGAGACTATTAAAGTGCACACATTCATTCCTTTGCAGACACTGTGTGATAGATATGTGCTTTTATCACCAGCTCACGCTCTGCTGTAATACTCGCCATGAGTCGACTACAAATGATCCTGAACACCACGGCATATGAAAGATCAAACACTGCACCAGTCCTGAAATCCCTCCACTGCCACATTACCATTCATTCTGCATCTCTAGCACTGCTGCTCAGATATCTCAATAGTGTTGCAAGTAAATACACTTTTAAAGAAAAGAAAAAAAAGTTTACAGTAAATACACTTATTATGAAAGTCTATGGGGGAAAATGCACACAGTTTCTAAAGTGCATTAATAAAAACAATAAATGTTATGCGTGTTAACAAGACTAGTATGAACAATTATATATACATGAGTGCGAGTATGCAATTTTTGAATAATACACACACATGTGAAAAAAAAAAATAAAAAAAAAATAAATAAATAAATAAATAAATATAATATATATATATGCGTGTGTATATAGATAGATAGATAGAGGTAATTTTTTATTTATTTTAGTGTATTAAAAATAATTTTATTTATCTTTTTTTATTTATTTAAAATATTTATAGTTGGAAATATTTTTATAGCTGATACATTGTTATTTAAAATACCAATGTATCAACTACCTTTTTAATCAATTCCCTTTGATCTACTTTCCCTATAGAAGTGTAGGTGATACTATGGTAACCAGGATTTGTTTCCCTCCACTGACCCTATCTATACTCACTAAACAGGTTATTGTTTTGCTTAAAACAACGTTCTAGCATATTGTTTGGCGTGTTTACACAAAGATCCCATCTCTGTCTAAATAAAGCGGTTATTTTGGAAATTCCTCTGCGGGTGCGTCTCTAAATGTGTGATATCAGTGTGATAAGTGACGTCTAACTGCAGGAATGCTGCGTGGGATGGGAAGAAATCACAGCTAAACTTTCCAGGAGACCCTGAAGAATCAAGTCTCTGCCCATCTGAAACGCTTTACAGCCGTAAAGCTGGACCACACCTCGAGAGCAACCGGTTTTACGAGATGCCACTATCACGGCCTTTATGGAGCCCAACCCTGCTGCTTTTGGTCATTGTGCCCATCTGCTGGGTTGACACATTATTAATGCTAATAGATGCAATACAACTCACTCCCAATTTAAACTTTGCTCCTCATACTGATACCTTCAAACTGTACCTGTGCATTAATACAGTATGTGCATTAAAATGATGTGTTAAAAAAGCAAAACATTTACCGAATCGCTGGAGGAAGACGAGGACTTGTCACCGTCCTTCTTCTTGTGCTCCTTGTCTTTCTTCTTCTTGTCTTTATGTTCTTTATCTTTGTGCTTATCTTTATCCTTATCATCACTCTGAAAAAATATATATAAATTAAAATAAAATCTCATATTCCATTAAACAGCAGACAGTCACATCTATTTCTGCACATCATCTGCACTCGTATTTCCTATTTAAACAGGAAGTTGGGACGGGACACATCAAATTGTTTGTTCCTTTATTTAAAATGACTAAAGAGTATGGATGGGCTGCTGAGAGACATGAACTTAAAATCTTAAACTGAAGATGTTTTTAAGAAACCTTTAGACATCTCAAACCAGCAAGTGTCCCGAGAGAGATTATTCAAATTCAATATCTGTAACATTATCAAACTTATTTCCATATGCAAAGTTTTTCAGGGCTAGCTGATGTTTTCCACACAGCCACTATCAATACTTCCCCTTCATCTTGTCCAGTATAACACTCACAATATGTTTCTCATTATCAATATTGATCACATGTTTATGTTTTATAATAGGATAAACTGTGACTTCTGAGATCTTTAACCCATTAGTCACAACACGAATGTCTCTAGTGGCTGTTGTAATTTGAATGGTTGTTTCTGATCAGATTATGTATAAATATGTTTACCTTGTCTTTGCTCTTGTCTTTGTCTTTATCCTTCTTTCCAAACCCAAAGATTCCCTCGACTTGTTTGCCCTCTGACTTCTTTACCTTTTCATCTGGAGAAGGAGAAAGAGAAAGAGTGAATAAAAACGCATTCGTTTATATTCAACTAATGTTTCTTGATTCAGAAAATAAATCAATTAAAGAAGTTTTAAATGAGCTTCGCAGCGGTTTACCTGCCATGATGAAGCGTTGTAGTTATCAAACTCTCTGACCGACGTTTGTGAAGATCTGTGTGTTTGGCCAAGATCTAAAAGAGCTTGTCTCATGAATATTAATTACGTAATCTGACGTCCGCCCAGTCGGATTATGTGATTCGCTGAACGATAGCCGCGAGTAGGTGAGCGACAGTTAATCAGCGAATAAGCGCAAGGCTTGGCTCATGAATATTAATAAGGTTGTGTGACTGGGCGGCCGCGCATTATAATTTCGCGCTCAGGTGATTTTATTCAGGTGTGCATTCACGGAAGTATCTGTTCTCCAGTCCTACTTCAATAACAACAAATCCACGCCCATATACAACACACACACACACACACACACACACACACACACACACAGCTATACAACTACTGAGATACAACTATTTGAAAATCTGGAATCTGAGGGTCCTAAAAAATCTAAATATTGAGAAAATCGCCTTAAAAGTTGTCCAAATTAAGTTCTTAGCAATGCATATTACTAATCAAACATTAAGTTTTGATATATTTACAGTAGGAAATTTACAAAGTATCTTAATGGAACATGATCTTAATTTCCTAATGATTTTTGGCATAAAAGAAAAATTTATAATTTTGACCCATACAATGTATTTTTGGCTATTGCTACAAATATACCCCAGCGACTTAAGACTG